GTGTGGTTTTTTTTCTATCAGGGCTACAGTTGTTTCCTGAGTCATTTAAACCACCAGATTTCAGTCCCCATTAAATCTATAGTTTCCTTTCAAAATGATGATTTATTACAATATCATATGCAACAATATTACAAATCATGACACAAACAAAGTGGAAAAATGTTAGGTTATGATTTTATTTAATACTTAATGTCTCAGCTGAGAAATAATTTCTACAGATCTAAAAGGTGTAGGCTGAATTTATGACAAATGTCCTGGGGAACCTCACAAGTACTGTTCAAAAAACTCAGATTTAAGTTTATAGATCTAAAACGACTAACATCTACTTTCTAGGTAGCTACCCCTCTTTTACCACACCTTTCTAATATTTTAGGTAGTGAGCCATTGGTCAGTGTTTGGATCAATAAATACTCTCATTGTTTGTGCAAACAGCAATTTTGTTTCACCATGAACTCAGTAAAATTTGTATCTTTTGTGATGAGTCAACTGTCATAAGAGTCTTGTGGCTGTGTAACATTGTGTCATTTTCAGAAATATTGGAAGGAGTTCTTTGTTTGACTGGATCTATGGCTCTTTTTAGAAATATCCATATTTCAGACCAACTGTAAACCCGTGGTGTACATGTATCTTAAGAGTTGCACTGTATCGACATGACTCATTTCCTTTACTCCCCTCTCCAGTTCTCTTGAGTTCAGAGTTCAGCTGGCACCTCAGACTGTTGAATGATGAAAGAAGTCAGGCCCTTCCATCACATGAGTCAAAGGAACTCAGGAGAAGGAAACCAGCCTGGGGCCCTGACTCCTTTATGCTGAGGAGGAGCCCACCAGCTCTGAGATGAAGTTCTGATTGTCTGTTTTTTTTCTCTGGCAGGATGTGATGAAACCCTCTGTCCAAACCTCCGGCCTGTAAACTGTAGTAGTTATGATCATTTTCATTCCTTACTAAATGAACATGAGTTTATTTTGTAAGGAATGAAAATATAGATCTGTCTGTTTTCTGGGGGCATATTTGACATTCAAAGCTTCCAATATCCATCACAGTCCAGTTAGGTCATATCATTTTTAACAGGGGATGGTTATGGTCTATGAACTCACTGACTATAAGTGTTTCTAGTTTTCACCTCAAACTAAGTCATCTTATTTGACATTAAGAAATAATGAGTTTTCTAAATCAATCTCAAACCTAGGAATTCTTGTTCTCTGGCTTCTCTATTCCAGCAGTGAAGAAGTGTAAACAGTGAGATTATCTTAATCTAAAAAAAAACAATGGCAAAAATCTATGACTGAATAACCATTAGAGCTTTTTTCTATATGTTGCAGGATCAAACAATTTATAAAAAATATCTATATTTGAAACAAAACAGATTATCAACACAGTTCATTGACCTCCTTAGTCAGTTTCTCAACAGTTGTGGCCGGTTATCTGGACAGATCAGTGATCAATGACTGTCTCAAAGATTTCTTCTTGTAAATCAAGGTGTCTGGTTTACCCTTTGTTTGACTATGATAGGGACTTTTCAGTTTGGCTGAGTCATACCTCACTGCTCCGTCAGGCCAATGGCAACAACCAGCAAACATTTACAGAGGTTATGCGAGGTGCTAGTAAGAGTATGGTATTAAATACAGAAGCATTGTTAATGGCCCTGAGCTCTAAAATTAAAAGATCTAAGTATATATTTCAGAGCAAATGTGTCTTTTTCCCATCATCCCCAACCCCCTTTACTCATGTCCAGATCATTTAGAGATGATCTGAGAGCAGAACTAACAGCCACGCAGTAACATCTGTTCTCCACTCTGTGACTGGATGTTGAGAGAAGAGAGCTCACGCTCATGAGTGCAGTGTGCTGTTTTTCCACCCCCTCTTTTTTCCCTCTCCGCTCATGTTCACCTCGCAGAACTTGCTGAACAAGATCTGAGCCTGTGTCTCTCAAGACGTGAGGCAAGCAACAACATGTGCACAGCCTCAGGGTTAAAACATGTTTGTGGGCACACTCAACATTGAAAAAGTAGCCTATAAGAATTATGGTTAACTGAAGGTGAATATACCACTTGACATTTCACAGGAAGTAGATCACTAAACAGAAATGAAGGGCAGCTATATTCAAGAAGAGGAAAACATTTGTCATTATTGTTCGAATGTAGATTTACAGATGAGTTCACCCACCCCATCACCAATTACTCATCGCATTTGAAACATTTACTAAGAAGTTTTATTATCGGATTTTTACTAATGCCATAAAATGTTTGATCGAAGTTCATGAAGAGGGAAACGTAATTACTTCTGTGTTATTTCTGACAATTCAAACTGGATGTGGTGAGGTTAAACTCCACAGTGAGAGAAAAACCATCTGAACAGCAGAAAGAAGCCTCTGTCACCACTCAAAAACCAGTGTGTACAGCCACTGTGTCAACATGTGTCCCTGCTGTTTGTTAACAGAGCAGCTCGGGGACATGTCTGGATTTGTTCACTCTTGGCAACCTTGATTCCATTCCTTTGAAATAAATTGACATGATCATGACTACAAATAAAGGCTGATCTGAAGACGCAATATTGTGTCATATGATGTATGTCTGGGTTTATAGCCGCTAGTTAGCATTAGCACTTGAACAGAAGTGTGATTTGTTTGTGATTGTTGTCGGCAGTATCACTTCTGAATGTCGTTTTACTGCCCAGACTCTCATTAGTGTATTTATTAGCACATAGCTGCAAATTCTTTTGATAGCATCTTAATTCTGGCAGCCGGCAGACAGCTAGATAACTGAGCAATTACAACACACAATGAAAGAGGCTGTACAGCCGCCAAGGCACAGGGCCTGTCTGGCATATTGTGGACCTGAGGCCTGACAAGCATCTCGGTTTGTGTTCACTGCTCCAGGACATAGAGCAGGCAGATGGAGTGTGCATGATTTAGAGTGTGTAACCTGTGGCATAGAGCAGTATTTTGTATATTTTCATAGAAGGCTGTATTGTTGTCAGCATGTTGAGGTGGATCCAATGCACAGAGAGAGATAGTTAATTATCATTGTGATAAACTTGCAAACAAACAGCACTATTTAGGTCTATAATCATTGTTATGACTCCTTATGTCTATAAATCCTGAAACATAACAGCAGTTTTTGCATCGGTTGTACTACTGCTCTTTGGCCAGGGGGTGGCGCAAAGTCATTGTAAGGGCTGAAGGTTTGCCCAGGGAATTATTGTCAAATGCAAGTACAGCTCTAAGTATTATGATGACAGTTTAAAAAACAATAATTTGCATCTTTGTGTGTGTGTGTGAATCAACAACAACCAACGTTATTAAATGATGTAAAATCATCAGAGCAGCTATTTCTCTTGCACGTCAAAACATTCACAAAAAAGAAAATACACTGTGGCAGAATGACCTTGTTAGACTGCCAAAATTAACAGAATAAACACAACTGTATAAAACTGTACCTGACTGGTTGGTAAAGTATCCCACAGCCATACCAGAGCTTGTAGCAGTGCAATTTAAATGGCAGTTGCTCTGGGGTTTGCATATCTTGCACAGTGTCTGACAAAAATGGCCTCACTGTTGAATACTGAGAGATTCCTGAATGGAGTTCGTGTGATATGAGTGCATGACGCTTTCCTTTCAAATAATATGTGTGGTCTAATTAAACTGCATCTCATTTATTATTCAAAAGTGTAATTTTTAGTTTGTAATACAGGAAACATGCATAAATAAAAATGTAAAGCCTGTGTTCCCTCTGTGTTGTCAGCTGAGCCGAGCAGGCGAGTCGGCATAAATTCTCATCGGATGGATGACAGCCTCTGACAATGTCCTAGATGTAGTGCTGCCTTTGTGAAGGGTATGAACTGCTCTGACGTTTATCTGTGTTAGCATAACAGACTTTTGATGGCCATTTGAAAGAGTAACATCACTGAGTTCCCAGAGGCACAGATAGGCCTGCATCAGAGCCACAAGTGATGAGATCACTGTTTGATTCAGAAATATAGTACAAAACGATCACAGACACCAGCCCTCATTACCGTTACAAATATCATAGAGTGTGTTTTTGTTAATGAATAGAATGCTATGTGATTTAATTTTGGGGAGATAAGTGAGAATGAGGAGATGTGACCCCACTACCAATACTGCCACTGGTAAAGGTACATTTAACTTGCAAGTTATATTTTGAGAGTTTCTGCTAAATCATTTCAAAACACATGACACCGCTGAAGAAATGTTGCTCCCCCCCATTGGAGAAATAAGGAGTAATAAACTAGACAAATCCAACACAAGACTAGAAGTTCCTCTGCTGGGCTCATTGTCTTCTCTGTGTTTTCTTTAGACTTAGAATTAGATCACAGAGAGTTTCAGATATTGCATAGACTCACGTGGAAGTCAATCTAGTTTTGTGTTGGATCATTGATCTGAAGAATTTAATCATTTGACACAAATAAAGATTAGTGGAGGGAGACAGACAAGGTGGCTGATCTTAAATAATGACCTGGCTGAGACAAGGAGACGGCTATTTCTCAGGAGCTTAATCTAAGAAGTATGAGGAAATCTCACAATGATCCTAAAATGAGCTCATTTTTATCACGGAGAGACAAAGAAGAGATCTTATTTTGAATGTTCCTCCATTGCTCCTGAGGCTATTATATTAATGGCGGTTCCTCTAGGCTTTAACGGGGATTCCCCACGTGTGGTTCCATGTTGAGAAGCATCAGAATGAAAGTCAGAAGCCTCATGTGACGTGTAAACACAAGACAAACTGCTTCCTCTGCTTGTTGTGTCGCTATAAATCCATTTAGTTAAACCCAATTAACTTCCCTTTGCTTCTGATGTGGAAATGTTTTGATGACGCCAGGAGGACTTACTTCGGTCTACCTTAGGGGTGTTTACAGGGCTATTTCTATCACAAGTGGATTGTTTAACGAAATTAAATCATTTAAACGAAATAATGTTGCGTATTTATCCACGTAAATAACACGCACTGGTTTTTGTGTTAAATCTGGAGCGGGGTGTCGAGCATCCAGGCCGCTGCTGGTAGGGAGCACCCCTCGGAGGAAGCAGTGGTTCAGTCGGCGGAGAAGCTCCGAGCCTCCTGTAGCTTCTCTGTGGATTCACGGGGACGCGCGGCGCTGTGTGGAGTGTGTGTGTGCGCCCACCGAGGCGAAGGAGACCCGAGGAGTCCGCGCTGAAGGAGAAGCTGCTCCGCTCCACTCCGCACGACCAAGGTGAGCTCCATTACAAGCGCCGTCCTCAAAGCCAGTGGCTCCTTTCTCCTGTTACACAGCTCGGTGTTCGTCAGCGTCAAATAACGGTCACGAATCAGCCGGAGCGGTGAGCCACAACACTGCTAGCTTAACTTCTTGTTAGCCAGTGTTTGTTGACAGGAACACAGTTGAGCAGTTTCTGTATTAAAGGCCACACATGTACTTATTACTGAGCATTAAGTACTTGGATGTAGGTGTACTTCAAACTGCTCACGGGCGAAGTAGCATTCAACAGGCCTGAACTGCGGACAAGGAGAAATATACGCAGTGGCGAAGGTTGACTACACATGAGTCCAACAAAGAAGTGAAGTTTTCCACCCTGTTATCATTACCACTGGTTATTCCCCCTGATCCACCGACTAGTGTTTGCTATTAGCCCAACCCTGTCTAATAGTGTCTCTAATCTCTTAGATGTAGTATATTTTAAGGGTAATAAACCCAGCTACGTACAGTGGGAGAACTGCCTCTGATGTTTTGGTTTCATGTTCTCAAAAACAGCAGCAGTAGGAAACCTTGCACTATCATCTGTGAGAGAGTGTCAAGGTGTTCTGTTTTGGAAACCTAGTTGCATTTAAAATACTTTTTTATTCTACAGTTTTTTTCCAATTGGAAACATCAGAGGGAGGCTTTAGGATCCCTAGTTCCCTAAATGAAATCGAAAGCATTGTAGGTGCAGTGCTGCATATTCTGATTAGTCATAGGAAGAGATGAATGCTAGAGACCTGACATTGTTGTACTAACACTAATATAAGTGTTTACTGAGGGAAGCTACAGCTGAGCAGTTGTTTATCTCTGAGACTGTTGTGCTCTTTGTCATGTGTGGATGTTAAAGAGATTTTCAATCTCATTATCAAAAGAGACTTGAGAATAGCAGACATTAAAAATGAGCAAATACCTACAAAACAACACTATAATTGCAATAATCATGAAAAATAGCAAATAACAAGGATTTAATATCACCGAGGGGAATGTAAGACTGCAGCTGTAGGTTTGCAGCTGCTCATTCCATTGAGAAGGTGACGAATACTTGAACCCGACATTAGTATAAACATGGGGCTATCTAAGGTGATGTAGTTACTGGATCCTGTACTGTAGTGACTAGGTTTAAATGAGTGAGGAGAAGTAAGGTAGTTTGGAAGGTTCAAGACTTTTATGGAAGAATTACACAAGATGACGGTTTCTTCTTGACTGTAAGGATGTCCATCCAACTGAGTGATACAGAGAAAGACGATGAGTACGGAATTTGTCATTAAATGTAAAGCTGTGATACTCAGGGTTTGACTGCTGAAGTGTTGTTGAGGCAGCATGTCAATATAGAAATTCTAAATGTTTTGCAGTGGATCCCTTCTGCCTGCTCATGTCCTTTTACATAAACCAAAGTGATCATACACCAATTTAAAATGTGAGTCCAGTCTTGAAGCATATTCATCCGGTTTTATGATGTGACTGCTGATTTTTCAATTGTTGCTTATAAACTCACATGACGTCAGATCTTTGTGTTTAAAATCTTGATAAGCTTGTTGCCACAGTGATCAGAAGCAGTCTATCCTGTTCAATCTGCTTCACCATTTTATCAGCTCATGGGGTAATGTCACTATAAAATCACTGACTGAAAACATAGAGATGACACTGACAGATCATCCTGGTAACTGAATAGTCACAATTCATACCTACGTGACACATCTTAATTTGAGCCAGGGACCTCTCTCCCACCTTGTTTCCTATCTGCCTGTTCTCTATCTCTCCCACCAGTAAAGGAGTAAATGTCAAAAAATAAAAGAAATCTCTAAAAATGGCACACTGCCTTGTCTCATTTACTGTATTATGTACCGAAGACAGTCTGAACCCCTACCCCCAACTGGCACCACCAAAGTTGCATTTTTAATAAGTGTATTTGAAAGTATGACCTAATTAGAAAAGAAGATCTTGGTGGTTGTGTATGCTCCTGTTTTTTTTAGCTGTGTTCTTTTTCACTGGTTGTTTTTCCCCCCACAGCACCATGGATGAAGAGGAGCAGTTTGTGAACATTGATCTGAACGATGACAATATCTGCAGCGTCTGCAAGCTAGACACAGAAACGGGGACCTTATCTTTCTGCCATGTCTGCTTTGAACTCAGCATTGAAGGTATGAAACAGCATCTAGGGTACATTTTGCTCGTTTGCTGACTTGAGTGAAGATAAAAGTGGTGTGGTGGGAAAAAAAACTCTTTTTAAGTATGGTATGACCTTGCCATGCTTTTAACTTCTGAATATACACACACACACATTCCACATATTCACTGATGTCTGTCTGTTGGGGCTCAGAGTTAAAATCTGTCTTCACCCCCAGCAGTTTTGCTGGCTACCTTCATATTCGAGGCAATCTTCAGTGGATAGATCAGTACTGGTATCTGGATCACACAGTAAATCACTTCTGCAAAAACATCCAGTTCTTTTTGATCATCACTTCCCATGATGGCAAATATGCGCTCTCACCAGGAGCTGTAACAGAGCCCAACTCAACTGCTGCCTACAAACACATCTTTTATCCTCTCCAGTACCAATGTAAAACCTGTATGTGCAGGGGTAATGGGCCTGTCGGACCAAAGCCCTCGCTGCAGCAGGCCGCTCTGATTCAACTGTTTGATGTTCCACTCCAACTCAAGAGCGTGTGTTTGAAGGTTTTTCATCTCTTAATTAATGGGTGACCTATTTGAAGAAGAATGGGAAATCAGAGGGGGCTGGATATGCCTCTTATTCAGCACTTGTCTCATAGATATAATGGCTATTTTCTGCACTGGAGTGTGTGTGTGCGCACACTATTGGTGTATGATTGTATGAGATCTCCAAGAGGAGTATGTTATTCCGTTGACAGCAGGAAAAAAAATGCACATGAGAGTATTTATATTCTATAATGGTTTAAAGGTGGGTGGATATTTTTCAATAACTTTGTTAATAGTTTTCAGCCCTACTCTCACTCAGACAAGCATTGTTAGAATAGTTCTCACTCATAAGTTGTATTAGTTAGTACATGCAAGCTCATTAATCCTTATTCAGCTGGAAAATTATCATGTAAATGTTAGAAGGCTGCAGCCTAGGTTTGCTGAGTTTTACATAGAGTATATTAGAAACCTAATTAACCCCCTGCTCATTAAACTACTAACAGCCTCAGTAAAACATTGAACTTTATCATGTAGTACGACTGAGATTGACTTGTTTACACGTTGCTTTCTCTAGAAGCAGGATGCTGCACGTACATTTTTCTGGGTCACCATGTATAATTTCCCCAACCCTTTATCTTCCTATACTATTCAGTCAAAATTTTGAGGAAAATATTGACATGCCACAAAGGGCAGCGGTTGCTCCATTTAATGCTTCAGTCATGAGCTGTGTCCAGGTAGGACACAGTCAGCTTGTGGGTCCCCAGAGCTTTTCTCAGACAAGACTTCCTACTGCATCAGTAAAGTCGTGTGCTTCTCTGGGTTGATATATCCTATGTGGCAATAAAGTGGATGTTATGTAACTGTTGGGTCTGGGGGGGAAAAGAGGGAGCGGGGGTGGACGCAGACAAACATGTGTAGCTGATGCGGCTGAGCATTTCATTGGTGGGAGTGCAGCCTCTAAGCTGCATGTGCCTACATTAGGCGTGATGAACCTCGGGCCAAGCCGTGTGCCTGCTGACTGCTCATGCAGACTTAAATACTGCAACACTCATTCATTCTTTGCGATCCTCCATTAAATGAGAATAGAGAAGCAGTTCAATCACTGCACATGCAGAATACAACAAATATAGAGTGGGACAAATGGTCATGATCTCCTGCTGCACACAACACAGACACACATAACCTCCCAGTGTCTTTCTGTCCTAAACCATGTCATGCTCTCTCAAAGGTGAATTCCTGCCACTGAATATTCATGGCCTTCTTGCTCTATGCTGGTTTTGAATATTTATCAGATGCAGTTATGGTGGAATTGCTTCTTGTTTTTTAAAACAAGGAGAATATATTGCAAAGCAAATATCATGGCTGCGTCTTGCATAACGGCCGTCTGTCTTTATTTCTGTCTGCATGGTAAAGTAAATTACATGTAGTTAGAACTGTTAAGAAAATGTCATCAACACAAATAATACCTGTAATTCCCTGTTTGTTGGTCGAAGCACAACCTGCAGTGTCCTTTAGATGCCCTGCATTAGTCAGAATTATGGATGGCCCGAAAATAACTACAATTTAATCCCCCTCCATACTAACACACCTAAGTATATCATGTGACCACTCATGTACACTGGGCATGTGAGTTGCTTGAAAAACATGTAAGCAGTTGTATCATTGTAAAATGCAGAATCTCACTGCACAGCTATTAGCAAAGACAACAGGGTCAGTAATGCTTATAATTGATTATCCATGTTGTGTTCTACACCGGAAACCAAGGCTAATGCCAGTTGTTTTCTTTTTGAAGCGGGTCATGTAACAAGAGCTTGAAGATTTAGCACAGGCTACATGTCGTGATCAAAAAGACCCAATCAGCAAGCACTTGTGAGTGTCTATGTCATAGAGTTATCAAACTAAAACAGGATGAGCAGCATGTTCAAAGTTCTCTATTTTAGCCTCTCTCGGAGTCTGGAGTAGTGCGGATGTCAGGCGTATCTTTAGCAGAGTTTTCAAATGAAAACGTAGTAATGTGGATTTGGCTCAAGTATTTGCATGTTATAGATATTTTTCACTTTGTACAAAATAATGCTGTGTAAAGAGCCACCATATGACTGACTATTATGAAAGTATAATGAAAGATTGCATTTAAAGAGAGACAATGCAGACCAAGCAATTTCTTGATTTCAAATCAAGATTGTGTCTAGATGTGATACCTTATATTAATGTTTCTCCAGTGTCCACATTGATCATTCTGTCCAGCTCACATTACACCCTCATCTTGTTTCTGCAGCTCCACATAACAGCAGACAGAAAGAAAGAAAGAGAATAGAAGAAGATGGTTGTCATTTGTGAAGCTTTGTTATTATGTTTTCTTGCATTTCAGCTGGGCTCAATTTCACTGCATCCACAGGTGTCCTGAATAACAGGAGGTCTGGTGGATTGACAATGCATTTGCTTTGACACTTCAGTATTGTGTATGAGTGTAATTTGGTAAATCGAGCCACAATCTGTCCTCAATGCATCTTAGGGGCATTCATGCCTTTACTTACAGTATATGTAGCTCTATTGCTCTATAAGACTAGAATCTGATTGAAGACAAGGTGTGAACAATAGTTTTTAGGTAATACTCATGATGAGTAAACTATAGTTCATATTTAATATCAGTGGAGTTAGGCAGTTATTGTACATATCTCAACTGAAACAACAACCAGCTCCACTAATAATATAAACTATCCTTCATATTCTCATAGATAAAACATTTGTATGTGCTTGGAGCCAGATGTTTATGTTGACTGGGTGCAGAGTTGTAGTTTCAGCCTACATTACCATCAGAAGTAGATGTGAAGGCTTTTTGAAGCAGGATAAACATTCAGGATGTGCAGCCTTTGTTGTACCTGAAAGTGGTTGTTTCCTGAGGAAACTGCTTTGGCCTGTGTATGTGCTGGTTTCTTCTCAAAGCACAAAATACTGTAGAAATGTGCCTGTTTGTATGTTCAACAGCTGCCTTGCTGGGGATTTCTCACATTAAGACCTTTCTTTTGTGTTTTTTTTCTTCCCACACTATCTGAGCTTTGTGCTGGTTATACAGCCTTGAGCGTCAAAACAGTTCAGCAGATAACAAGAAGGCTACTGCAGTTCCACTACTGTAGCTGTTTAAATCTATATAGATTGGTGTATTAGAGCTATATTTCTAATTATGGCATCCTAATGACTGCTCAGACACCAAACTCCACCCAGCGTATGAGATAATTCTATAAAGTAGCTCAGAGAGCTTCACCTCCTATCCATACATGACTCACAACAATGCAAATTAGCCAGTACAGTTAGGTCTAGGAATATTCAAAGCACCAACAAATTGATATCAATACTGTTAATGAACTGGCCTCATTGGAAGTGATGAGTTGTACTTTGTTAAACACAAAAGAGATGTGAAACGAGTGAGAAAGTACTGTGACCTTTATCCTCTCACACGCACGGTTCCTTCATTGGTCTTTCCGTCTTCTCTGGCTCCCTGCCAACAAGACGTCTGCTAAGTGGCACGGTTCAGTAAAACCTTCTTTATCTGTTACGTAATGCAGACTGAATATCTGCTGAGGCTTGATAATGTACTCAGCTGTGTTTGGAGTGAAAAAAACAGAAAGTTCCTACAGCAAGAGACTGGAATGATGCAGTTGCTGCTGATTGTGGTTGCTCCACAGAGACTATTGTAAACAGCTCATTCATTGTTAGTGACCTCTCCACCCTGGGATGTATAGAGAGGCCCAATCATGCTGGTGTGTGTGGTAGGCTCGGTACCTGTACAATTGAACAATCCCTGAGATTTTCTGTGCCCACTGTATGTTCCGCACTGCTGAGCCCCCCTGCTTTTTATGTGCATCCGTCATAGGCTTAACTAAACAGCCTCTTTTTCATTTCAGTGGTCATTAGCCCAGTTTATATAAATAAGTAGACCCATGGAGTTTATTCATTATTGTGTTCAGCCTTAAAATTATTTACTTTTTAACTGCAGTTTGTAAAGTTGTAGACTAATTCAATTACATACCTGGCCACTGTTAGCCAAAACTTTTCTGACCAGAGTGATGCAGGGGAAGATGTCAGACAAATAGAGGTGTATCCCTGTTACATTTAGGTTTACCATACCACACATGCCCTGAAGGATACACCAGGGCTTATACATGAATGTTATAATTAATAATTCAATAATGGTAAAATAAAGTTGTTCTAAGATGAATGTCACTGACTTCATTCTGTAAACAGCATCTGTGTCCATAAACGTAAACTTAAACTAATTTAAAATGTCAATAAAGCTGTATTAATAAAAGAGTTTTTAGTCTAAACACTCAAGTTCATGAAATGCTTTGCAGAATATTGATAATTTTTATTGTAAGCGCACTTAAACAATCAGATACTGGATATTTGTCGTTCGAAATTGCAGAATAAATTGGTTATTATAACAGAGTTATCAGTAAATGGCTGGGATTTTATGCTTAAACTCCATAAAAGAGTATTATTATTGTAATAAGAAGATTGACAGTAATTTTGAACAAACACAGTTGTTATCCTGTGCTGTCTGTCATCATAAAATTACTGACTTGTTATCTTTTTGGAAGGATTTAGAGAAAGTACATTGTATGATATTGATATTTATATGACAAGCAGACTCTACATGGCTATGGTGTACATCAGAGATCGTTGCCTCTTTTGACAGTATTTCTCTCCTGTGTGTGGTGTAGGATTCTCGTTTCTTGATCCAGTTGCTCATCCCTCTTGTTATTATTTTAAACATGTTTCAGAATTGACTGCATGGGTCCATCGACGTCACTCAAGAGTTTCTGATCTGTGTTGGCTGTGTCTCTACTCTGCCAGTGCAGTCTGGTTCTTTTACATTAACAAAGGAAAACTGAATAATGTAGTTCTTCCAGACTGAAGCAGATAGGGGCTATTGTGTTGTGCTTTTCAACTCTGTAATGGCAGCTAGTCTGAAGGTTGTGGAGGGTCTGCAGAGTTCAACAGGTGGTTTTGAATTCACTTCTTGCTGAGTTGATCATGTGAGCTCTATGTTAGGGTCCAACGTGGCCGGTGCAGCTGCCAACAACGAATTCTTCTAAGCTTTATCATGCTGCTCTGTTAGACACCTAACCACTGATGACCTCGGTCCCACTTGACACTGTTACTATTTCTCAGCTCTCACCCCAGAAGTTTGTCAACGAACAGTCCTGACACTCGCACGCTGTTCAGAGCAAAACCACAGGGCTTCAGATAGCTGCACAAGGACAAAAACATGTTTCTGTAATGTGAAGCACAGCAGTATGTGTATTATGGAAACATAAATTAAAGTTTACTTTAGGCAGAGCTTTTTCTGCAATGGCAACCAGAAAACCAAGTCGCCAAAAAAGGATGTTTGGGTAAAACCTGAAAACTGTGACCACTAAAAATAGAGAGCAGGACCAGTTGGAACAGAGGGATGTCTTGTCTCACCCTGTGGGTTTGTATGCTGTCATATTGGGAGAGTTCTCTGTAGTGTGTTACCATAAATAATTATCAAACCTAAAAGTCATGATTGTGTCTCTGAGTTAAGTTGCTCCTCCACTAGTTCTGTAGATTTCTGTGCCTGAATTCTCAGTTTGACCTTTTTTTGATTTCCCCAAAACTTAAAACTTTGTTGGCTTTTTCAGATTTTTGTAAGGGGTTAGTTTGAACATAGTTTTCTTTAAACATCAGGAGTGTTATTTCATCCGGGCTAATTTTTTGCTGGTTTGACTGAGGAGCTGGGGCTCCTGATTCTATTGGTATAATTATTCATATTTGCTCTCAGGAATATATTTAAAATGTTTCTGTCTTTCTCTCAACCTGTGTCTATGCTGTGCCTTTGTAAGTTGTTTCACTGAATGGCAGGATCCTACTCCTCCCTACTTCTGGTCGTCAGCGGTGCTGGGCTTAATGTCTCTCGTTGAGACTGCTGAACAATGTGGATTCACCACCAGTGAATAGTGTGTGTGCCTGCACTTACGTATGTGTGCAGCCATGAAAGGCATAGTGCTAAGCTGCTTAGCTGTGAGTGAGGTCTTTGGCTGGTGGTGCACTGGCCTGGTTGTGGGCCAATGAATTTTCTGCTAGGCAAGTGATAGCCAGTGTGTTTTTTGTGGTGGTCTAAAGACGGAGACTGATCGGATTATAAAACGACTGTTTGATAAGCACAAAGCTCCTGCAGCTACTAGTAAAGCATTTCATTGGCTATTCATTAGGCAGTATGCACACACAGAAGTCATAGAGCAAAGTTGAACTGAAAACAGATTTTACTCTTCAGTCTTGTCTCTCATGACATTATTTATGTAGCTTAAAATGAGTTGGCACTATCAGGCTTTACAATCAACATACATTCTCTTTTCCAACACCCCAATTAGACAAAGGAAATAACTCTTTAACACTAACCTTGAGCAAGTTTTTTTTATTGATACTTGCAAGAGTAAAGCTGTCCTATTAAAACCAGTGTTTTAATATACTTCATGCACATGAACAGTAAAGAAGAGAGCTGTGGTACACAGCAGAAACAGAAAATCTTTACAGATCAATGGTTAAACTTTCCTTTCCACTTGACCTATTAAATGGTATTTAAATTCAGCCTTATATGTTTTGTTTTTACTAATATTTTGTCTGAAATTCATACTATAATAATTATAATCATCAAACTTTTTTTAGTAAATTACTGTTTAAACTTTAACCGATTGATCAAGGAATCTTTGAAACTGCAACGAAGAAAATAGTCGAGCATTTGTGTGTTTCCTGTCCTCTAGTCAAATCGGCTGTTACAGCCCTTCAGAGAAAACCACTAAACTCCACTTTGTGTGGTGTGTATTGTGTGTGCCACCTTGTATACCACACTAATTATAAGGCTTTGTCAGATGGTGTCGGGTGGATGAGGTTAGGACCAGACCATGTTGTCTTTTGGTAATGCGCTGAAGAGACATTTGAGGTAAACCTACCTAAGTGAGCTTTTATGTCTAGATGAACAACAGTGACTAATCTCCTCACCTCAGGTTCCAACACGTACGCCCATCTGATGAGAAATGCCGGCCTTGAAAGCTAAACCCCTGTTCAGCATACTCTTACTGTAGTCTCTTTTGCTGTATGTCACACACACACTGTTCACTTTCATTCTCAGAGAATCAGAATCAGAAAAGCTTTTATTACCAAGCAAATTTTTTACACATACATGGAATTTGTTTGAGTGTTGTTCTCTTTTCACCTTCAGCTTCCCTTTGTTTATCAAGCTCTGACTTGCTCTACTGGGAGCTTGTTTTAATGGTCCACTTGCTCTTTGTCAAATTTGTCTGTCCTGGTTAAATTGGTAACAGTCTCACTAGTTTTGACTGGATCCAGGAAGCATTACCATTTCATCTGCACTTTCAAGTCATAATTATTATAACGTCAACCCAAGTACTGAAGGGTTTTTTCCAGTTTCCTCTTTTTAATGAGAAGGGCTGTTTTGTTTTGTTTTTGAGACCAAGGTTAATCCTCTGTTGAATACTTGTATCCTGTGTCTGTGCTTACAGTGGATAAACAAAAGACAAAGACTTTTTTAAATACTGTGTAGAATCTACCCTGTAGATTGAGGTGATTGAGTTGTACAGGTAAATTAGAAATGATAAATAAATGTAACTGAAATAAATTGAACAGAGACAACTCTGTGCACCATCTTCCCTTGTTGCTCAGTAGAAATATGATTTATGTGTTTGCTTTGAGACTGGGATGATCTATTATCCCCATCTCAACACTACTGGCTAATCCACTGCACTCTAAGCAGCTTTCACAGAGAGATTGCGGTGAGTCAATCTGCCAGTTTTAGTGAGCTTTCATTCTAATTTACATTTATTTGCTGTGGCAAGATCAATTGGTCAGCTGTTGAGATCACTGCTTATTTTTCTGTCATCTATTTTCTGTACTTTTATATGGATTAGGAATGCTGGGTCTTTGTGTCCCCTGTGTGTTTGCTCTTATACCTTTGACACTGCTTTTTGTCTTTGTGAATGCAGGTGTCTCCTCTGCCACCTTGTTACATTCAAAGTCCCTGCGTGGCCACAGAGACTGCTTTGAGAAATGTCATCTCATTGCCAACCAGAAGCTGTCACGTTCCAAGGTCTCCCGAAGTGCCTACGAGGGCATGAAGCTGGCCCTCAGCCAGAAACTGAACCGCATCATCCAGTATGCCCAGAACAAAGACTCTGTCTCCTCCAACGGCCTCAGCAGACGAGGGACCAAGCTTCTTTGTTACAGCCAGCAGAGTGACTGTAAGCTGTTGCCACAGTCAGATGCCCAGGTCCCCCGCTACACGCCTTGCTGGGACATGGGCAAAGCAACAGGGCTGCCTGATTACGCCATGGGGATGTTGGAGTGCCACACAGGGGACGAGTTTGGGCTCCTGCAGGAGTCACAACCTGAGGTTTGGACCAGCGACAGCAGGAGAGGCCAGCGTGGGCACAACCAGCCATCAGGAGGGGGCCAGACACAGCACAGACACCAGGGCCACAGCAGAGATGAACGTGAGCACATTTAACATGAATTGTCTTTTGTCACTTGATAGGGACAGTGAAGACAGACGGAAACCAGTGGAGGAAAGGAGGAAAATAAAGCTGTTTGGTTGATGTGTTGAAATTGTTAGAAAATTGGTTGAGAAAAAAGGAAACTTTAAACACATAACAAATTATTCACAAACATGGAACACTTCTAACATGCACCTAATATTTCAATATATATTGGCCCTGGATCATAACTCTAGTTGAACATTATGATGTTCTGGACCTTTACGTGAGCAAATTTTCTCTATCTGGACCTCTCTGAATTTAATGGTATATGCCCGGTGTGAACAATACAACCACAGAAATGGAGAACTCTGTTTGATCTCTCCTGAGAGCTCTTAAGCTGTTGTTCATTCATCTTCCTTTTGCTGTGGTATCTCCTATAACCCTATATGTCCTTGGCTGTCTCATGTCTCATCACTACTAAAGCTGCTTAGGACTACAGATCCTGCAGGAATGTGAGAGAGCCTTCCAAACTATCATTATTCAAATTCTTGGCTTTCAAAATAAAAGATGACAGGCATCTCACAGGTGTGTAAATCTACTTTAGCTTGTCATAAACCAACAGCGCTCACTGCTCTGAATATCGTGAACCTGCAGATATGCAGGAGTTAAACATTTTAGATGTTTGATTGTGTAATCCTCATTCTTATTGCTTTGTTAATAGCTGGTTAGAATCAGTTCCAGTCTGTGATGATGCTGTTCTTCTCGTAAACAGCTCGAAACTCTATTGCAGCTCCTCAGTGTAATAACACATTTCTGGATATTGCTCAAAATATTCCTTTATGCTGTGATTTTAAAAAGGTTGTAAACAAGTAAAAGGCCTGTGTCATGAAGTTGTACCATATTATACAGATTGAGACATGAAGAAGTTACACAAGTTGATTGTTACCCTCTCATACAAATACTGAAAGCATTTTTTCTCCCCTTCTTCTAGTGACCAAAAAGAGTGTAGACGAGCTCCATCAGCTGAATTCCCAGCTACTGATGCAGATTCAAAGTAAGTGACGTTTACTGGCATTCATCACGCTGTCTTAACAAGTCCAACATGTTCAAATATCATTATTCGAAATCTAAGAAAATGTAATTGCCGTGTTCAATCTGTAAGTCTGATCTCTATTAAATCTCTAAATTAAAGCTGCATTAGTGAAGATAGTTTCTAGCCACCACACACAGCGTGAGTGTGAGCTCACAGATTCAGAACATCAGACTCCATAACGTACTTAGTGTGGACCACACAAGCCCAAGATTTTACTTGTTATACTGGTAGTTTTTCCATGATGATAATCTTGTATAATTAGAATTTATAAGATTCATAAGACCTTGAGGAAAGCTGTCAGGTTTCCTTATTTCTCTCTTGTGGGAGTGCTCTGTTCCTGTTGTGTTGTCTTTGCCCTCTGCTCCTTCAGTAATCACTAGTATTGATTTTTCTTCGTCGTGTTTGTTTCTCTCGTGTGTGTCTCCAGATCGTACCATTTGTCGTCTGTGCATAAGTTGACCTTATGTGAGAATGAAAATGCTGAGTCCCATTTTCTGCCTCTCTGTCTCCCCACAGAGGTCTTCGAGGAGCTGACTGTGGCCGTGCAAGAGAAAGACTCGCTGGCATCAGAGCTGCACGTGCGGCACATTGCCATCGAGCAGCTCTTTAAGAACTGTGCCAAACTGCCATGGCTGCAAATTAGCAGAGCCGGGGTCAAAGCCAGCAGCAGCAGCGGCCCCGTGGAGTGAGGTGGAGAACATGATACTTGTATTTTTGCTGCTGGGTGAAGGCTGACAGACATGTGAGCGTGCTGGTTGCAGTGAGGCTGGAAATTCCTTTATGTATACTGAGTGACTGCTATAGCACTATGGTGACACTGAGCTCTGAGCTCTGCATTAAAGCCACATTAAGGGCTGGGTGGACATGGCCTCTCTTTTCATGGTTGCAGTGATGTTAATGGGGGGGGTTGCTAGATTGACAGCTGACATCACATCACCTAACCCAAGCACCTTGGATGTGTTGACACCGGGTGGGGCTCAGAGTCCTGGCTACAGTACGTGATCAGGAAATGTCCTTACATTGTCTTTAAAGAATAACTTTCAAGGTTTTTAGCTTATCAAACAACAAAAAAAGTTTGTCTGCATAATTTCACATTGACATTTTATGTTGGTTTTACTTTCTTTTGATTAGTTTGATGTCAACCATTTTAGTGTCATTTAATGTGAGCACTGTGAAACACTCCTTCAAATGTTATCTGGTGGCTCTCTGCAGAACGTGGGTAGCCAGTCAGAAGTGAGCTACAGTATTTTGTTACAAGCGTGGGTGAATACTTGAAGCACATTAGGTTGATGTTTTCCATCAAATTAACCATCAGCCACTGCCAGCTGTGGAGTGTAATTACTAGTCTTTTGTAAAGCAAAATTTAGCAATATCATGGTTGGAAACATGAGTACCCTAAAGCATCAGTGCAACAAAAACACATCAGAGTGATGTTAACTTTACCAGCTGAGCAGGTTTCTGACTGCGGGGGGGGTAATGGACGATTTTGGGAGTGTCTATGAACTAATACTGTCAAGCATTATGTAGAAATATCAGTTAACATACCCTCCCCACATCTCAAAGAGGTATTTTCTTTTATAAAACATATTATTGCTGGTGATATTTACTTGACATTTAGTCCAGAGCTGCTTGTTGTCTGTGGTAGAGCTGTTAAGCACAAGTCATGTCTGGCTTTACACTGAAAAAGCACTAGTGAAGAAGAAGCTATTGAGAGAGAAACCCAGCTGACAAACCAAAGTCTGTAGTTGTGGTGTTTCACGTGTGAATTTGAAGCTTTGAATAATTGATCATATTATAAGAGAAAGATGCAATACCAAACTGTGTGATAATGAACCGTAGGTTTTAGTCTAAAAGATGATGACGTGGAAAGATTTGGTCTCACATCCAGGATGTGTGCATTTTATTGATCTTATTGATTATTTTCATATTCGGTGTTGACGTTTGTTGCCCCATCTCCTGCATTCAAGGAGTCCCAGCTGATGTCACAGCAATACAGAAAGGACAGTTTGGTCTCCTGTGCCTCTGCAAGTCTGTAACTTTTAAACAAAAGGAGACAAGTCCGTTTTTGTCTCCTTTTGTTTAAAATAGGGATGGTTTTGACAACCTGCAGTTCTGCTTAGTTTATTATTTAGGAACCCTATGCAAGAAAGAGACAAGTAAATCAGAAGCCTTATTAAGTAGAAACTATGATAAAGAATATTGGCTATCTGAGTTTTCAGAGCTACCGTTGTATCATAAGCTGGGGTAAAACAAGATTATATACAGGTTGATAATTGGAAGAACTCAGCTATGTCAGTATATCTCTTTGCGCTCTCTTTGTAAGAGATTAAATGCATTTGAGCCCTTTAGGGTTTCAAGTAAAATGTTTTTGCTCCATTTTAGTTTTGGTTTCATTTTGATAACTGGTGTAATTGTTGTGTTTGAGAAGTCTTGAGTTGTGTGTTTTCTGTTTGTGCTTTGAATATGAATGCTGTGTGTTTTCTTTTTTTACTGTGGAAAACAAGCCTGGGCCTGTGCCTCTGTTTTCTCATTTTCTTTTACTGGGAATGTTAACATACCTGTCTGACTTCCACCTCCTTCTGTTTGGACTCACTTGACGTTTTTGTTTTTTTCTAATGTTGAACAAGGCTTTTTTAATTTGAGTTGTGTGATGTTTTATATTCTATTTATTGTGTGTGTTCTTGGACATTACACAGGCTGTGTGATTTGTGCTTAAGCGACTTTGTATTTTTTGTAAAAATATTCCAATAAAATTGAAACTATTTTTACTACATGCTCAGATATGATGTTATTTTCCCAATAGTGGAATGGAAAAGGAAAGATACACGGATACCTAGCAAAAAAAAAATATACAGAAAAGTGATTGAAAAGATAAGGCTTGTGTTATGTATTTTATTAGTAAAAATCAAGCTGCACACATTCAATTTATGACTGGCTGATAAACATTATTGGGTGGAACTGGCCTCACAAAGCCATGTATACTTAAGGATCTAAGTGAATGTATTACTATAATTACTGAGAAATGGCTGCAGACATGCAGAAAAGTTTAGGTTTCACTATCATTTCCTCTGATAATGACTCCAAGGTTGACCTCTCAGGGTTTTTTTTACAATAGAAATGACATTGAAGATGGGATTGCTTGCTGTACTGCAGGTAAACAGAGGCGGCATAGAGGTTGAGTGCCTCCCTGTGGTCAAAAAGGGTTTACAAGTTCAACAGCAAATGATCCTGTGGTTTTGTTGTGTGGTAAACTAATGGATGAGGTAAGGGTTTTATTAACAATAACAATACATAGCTAAAGTTCACATGGATTAAAAAGCTTTTGACAAAATCTCCTGACAAAATGGAATGGTGTAGTTTTTAAGTAGGTGTGAGTACAAAAGCTGCAACAAGATAGTAAAATGTTTGTGTTATATGAATTGTAGTTTTTCGCACAGTAACCAACAGTTTAACTAGTTAATTTATTCCATGAATGGCATAGACTTTGATTTAACCATCTTCCAACCTTTAGACTAATGCATAACAATAACTATCTAGAGATGAGTTTATTTTTTACAATGTGATAAAATGACATCAATATGTGTAACTATTACTTTATTACATCATGTTCAAACCATACAATCCTTTTCAAAATACATGATTGACAAAATGACAAAATTGAAAACTAAATACTAAAGACAAGCAATAAAGAAGAATTCAAAAACTTAACATGTTTGTTCCTATTCTCTACTTTAATATTCTTAAATCCATGTGAAGATTCAAGACAGTGAATTTAAATTGTTGCATGTGTGGTTTCTTTATATTCCATTTGCATTAAGGAATGTAGTATTTTTCATATGAATAAAGACTTTCTTAATAAAGTCTCTTTCAGAATCATAAAAATATAATGCCTCTGTCCAAATAAATCACCAGGCAAGTGATCGCTTATAGAAATATTCCATATGTATCCAAAACAATTTCATTCTAATTAGTCCTGATCACTTATTAGTGAACTGCTGATGCTTTAGAGATAGGCGGAAGTCCATTCTTGTTGAAATGCTGTAAATGAAAATACATGACTGATTCCAGATACGCCGGATGTAAACAGTGTAACCATGATGCTACAAACAAAAAACCACATACCGAGCAATATCAGCCATAATGATGATGACTCACTGACGAGCGTGTGCTCCACCAATCACTGCGCTACGCTGCTCCGCGCGGAGCCAATGAGAGCGATGCAGGGGCGGGGCTTGTGCGTCAGGGGGCTGGGTTAACACGCAGCCTCACGTCTTCTGGAGTGTTTCCATCGTTTCGTCCTCTCGTCCCTCGACCACATGCTGCAGGAGACCGTGAGTGAAGCCTGGGTCCTCGTGTCTCAGGGTTTAGATGACTCTTTAATACCTCCGCTCCCTCAGTGTAGGACAAGTTCTAATCATACTCTCTGCACAGTCCATGTGTTAGTTAGCAACAAGATGCTGTTAGCTCCTAAGTAGCGTTTTAGCTGTGAAGCTAATGCTAATAATCTCATATTCTCCCTGTATACTTATAAGTTTGAGGTATTTGTTGATGTGAAACCATAACTGCTTTAATGTTCAATATAATGACAGAAGCTTCCGTTGCATTTCGGCGCGGTCAACACGACACGTAGTTCGAATCGGTGGCTGGGCCAGTTAGCTCCGCGGCTACGTGGAGTGAACTCCATGTTATGGAGCGAGGGGAGGCGTGGATTGCGGGAAGTGGTGCGTCACAGCCCGCCTTTCTGGGATGTGTGCCGTTAAGTCAACGGATCTGATGGAAAACATCAAATGAAGTGTTTGAAACTGACGGAGTGTCGTGAAAGCCTCAGAGTAGCAGCTATCGTGCTTTTATCAGGATAACAAAGAGCAGCGCTGGATCCTCTCTGATGCTCTGCAGGTTTTCAGTGGTCTGACTTTCGAAGGAGTGTTAGGAGGAAGAAGCCAGAGTGAAACCCCTCTCTGCACTTTTCCTAAATGAGATGGTGTCACGATGCTACCTCGAGTGAAGGGTTATTACAAAACAGGACAAGGAAAATACTGATGTGTGGAGATGAGAGAACATTTCTGATTCTGCCATCGAGCAGTTTGTAGAAACGGTTTTCAGATTTTAACAAAGAGGTCGATATGTTCGTGTCACGTTTTTGCCACAGACTCTTGTGATTGAAATGTTTCTCACATACAGTTATTTTCCTTGCAGGGTCTGTCCGCACGTTATGAGACATATGTGAAACATGAGGAGGGAAATTGCAGCTGTAGTATTCTTCCTGAAGAGGCTCGTGAAAAAGGGAGGGAAGCTGGAGTCTCACAAAGTCGAGCTCTTTGTCGAGCGGCTGGCTGTTGCGCTGCAGGAGAAGTTCAAGGGGCACTGGTACCCTGAAAACCCCAGCAAAGGACATGCATACAGGTGCTGCTCTCCAGCTGTTGACATTTGTATTAATGGTTATGAAAATGTGTTCTCAGCTGTCTTTAGAGGCCCCCAGTGGAGGAGCAGACTTTCCACAGCACACCTTTCTTATTGAATGTCCTCAGACGTTGGGTTTTATTGTAACGCTTTGTTTGCTTTGCAGGTGCATCCGAATCAACAGGCTCCAGAGGCAGGATCCAGAGCTCCTTCGGGCATGTCGGGAGAGTGGGGCTCAATACGGTGACCTGGGACTGCCCCGTGAACTCACATTGTGGGTGGACCCTGGAGAGGTCTGTTGCAGGTGAGTTTGAGAGTTCGAGAGACACTTATAGGGTATGTTGTTGCCATATGTGTTTGAACTAATATCTGCATTAGTGGCTTAAATGAGCATTACTGCACTCAGGATTAAAAATGTTTTTCTATGTTTCATTAATTAAATGTTAATACATTTTCTTCAAACAAACTATTCAAGACTTGGAGAGTTTCCATTCAAACAGCTTACTGCACTATACTGTACGTTCTCTTAAAAAATACTTTTTCCTTCTCCTCTCCCATTATTAGATACGGAGAACAAAATCCTTTCTTCTCAGTGGCCAATTTCCCTAGTGATGGAGAAGAGGACAAAGATGTTGCAAAGAAGGTGACCAGCGCTTTGGAGAGGGTGACATCAGACTATCACTCAGGTTCATCTTCCGACGAAGAGAGCACACGCACCTCCCCCCTTACTATTGACTACAGCCACCGTGCTTACCAGGTATTGTATCTATAATATCTGGTCATCCTTATGGCCATTTCCCATGCTTGTGACCTATAACACCGCTTTATTTAGTTTGACGCCTACTGGTTGTAAAATTGTGGCAAGATGAAGTTCTGTTTTCTCATGTGTTTTCTCTTTTCAAGGGAATAAACCCAACTGCTCCTGCATGGCATCCCAGAAAAATGGGACCTGGGAAAAGTCTCATCCTTCCTCACCATGGTTTCCCGCTTCGCAGCAGAGCCCCCCACACTTCAAGACATAAACTGTGGGTTCCCCCCAGCTACAGCGCAGGACCTGGATACTGGGAAACAAACCTGTCACACCCTTACATTTAGGAATAATAGTGCATATTGTTCACACTGGACATCAATGCTGAAGATGACTGACCAATTTTTTAAAACATGAATTTTTACAGTGTAAATGTTGATAATTTTGACCTTTTTTGCACTTTAGACCATTTGTTAAAGTTTGAATAAATCACTTGTATTAAATTGGATATTGAAATAGGAAAACTACACATGTAATGTATTTTTACAATGGGAGACGTTCTTGTATGCCACTTACTGCGGTCCTTTGTGATATGTTTTATTTATTCATAGTGTAGAATTCTCAGATGTATAGGCTTAAATTTATGAAGTTTTATTAAACACAATTTCCAAGCATGATGATCTTGTTTATTTTTTCCTGGTTCCTAAAGTATCCCCCAAGTATGGTTATGTGTAATATATGTTTTGGATTCTTTTTTTGTGATAACAAACTAAAGGGAAGTTTAGTGGGTTATTTTAATGATATATCAAAATATAAGAATGGGGCTTTATCATCAGTCCATGATTTTGAGATCTGGGAATTTTGGGGACCAAAATTTTCTTTTTGCTGCAAAACAAATCTACCAACAGGTACAAAGTAAAGTAACATAGCCTATGCCATCTAGTGCAGGACTAGTCCCCCCCTCCATGTAAATATAAAGTTTTTAGATATAAAGGGTCCATTCTAGGGTAAAGAAAAAAATGTCACAAGGATTATTTTATATTCAATTTCTGCCAAAAATCCCTTTCACCTAAATCTTACACACTGAACCTTTAAGGGCATATCTTATCTAAGAGTATAAGTATAAAAACATACACAGCTATGTTGTAATAATCTGGTGTATAAACTGTGAGAGGGGAACATTTGAGAAGCTCAGAACTGGAGCTGTTTCCTGTCGCGGAGGATCAGACCTCACTTCTCCCTCCATGGAGCAACACGGTGAAACAGATCCGCTTCCTGTTCTCACCAGCAGGGGGCGTCAGAGGGATGCTGTTTGAGGCGAGGCTGGGTGTCACGTGACAGCCTCGGGGCGCGCTCCGCTGTGCACCTGCAGAGAGGAGGAGGAGGAGGAGGAGAAAGAGGAGGAGGAGGAGATTGGATACCTCGGTCGAGCTGAGCTGCCGCGTTTCACTCGAGCTCCAAGTAGTTTGACGAAGTTTCAGCGAACAAGTCGTGGATTAGCCGGAGCAGAGATGGAGCTGCGTGTGTCCCGGGTGTGCTGCGTCCTGCTCAGTGTGTGCGCAGGTAAGTTTTCCTCTCTCCCGCAAAAACCAGCGACACGTTTCCCCTGGATTCGTTTGTGTCTCCGAAAGCGGCGGCGAGTGGTCAGCGGCGTCCGCTACGGCCGAAGCTCCCCTGCCCCCTCCGCGAATCAACACTTTAACTTGACCCGTCGCTGCGGCGCGAACACAAGTTCCGAACCGCAGCTGAACGCACTTTACTGACATCAAGCCCACAGGGAGCAACTGACCCAAGGTCAGTTTGGTGAGCTAGCACCAGAACACATGTCCGGCTAAAGCGAATTTAAAATGTAGCTGTTTACTTACAACTAAAATCGTTCAGATGTTCAGTATGTGTTCATCAATGTGTTTTTTTTTTAGCAATGGCTTCTGTTTAAGGAGAAAGAGCGAGGAAGGTAAATAAAGAAAAGGGGGTTAGCATGTGATGAGGCAAAGTTCGCTAGTGTCGCATGTGTTGTCCACATTTATCTGAAGTCCATAAAGACACTGGTTGATTTGTCATCATACCGGTGGTGGTGCTGGATCTTCCAGTCATTTCAACACGTGCTGTTTTCATAAGAAAGAAGAGGTGGAGGGTGTGTAGGGGTTTATTTCCAGGGTCTGCTCCCTGTGGTGTCCTCATGGTTTAGTATCCACTGGTCAACACAATGGTCTGATCCGTATTTAAACCTGTGGCGACAGGACTTCAGAGTGCAGGTCTGCCATCTGCCAGCAGTGCTGCTGACCCCCACCCCAGGTTATCACATCGAACCTGGTGTCATGCACTCAAACGTTTCGACATCACGACAGATGATGGAGGCGCAGACCCAGTGACCCCAGAGGCTCTCTGTTGATGTGTGGGAATGGAAGTGAGGGCTGTGTAAACTATGATCGGAGCATTTTTAAAGTGGAATTGAACTTTTCATCACTTCACTGAGCACCACCCAAAAGAAAAACACCCACATGGCCACAGAGCCAGTGGATATCAGTGTTCACCACTTCTTCTTTTGTTTCGAATCTTCCTCTGAGGCATTGTTAAATAAATGCTGCTTCAACAAAAACACGGCACGTTATAACAATGGTGTTTTCTTTTTTCATCCATTCTCTGTCATGTTTTGTTTTTTGGGCATGTCGGTGTCGTCAGATAAATAAATGCAGAAACATCATTGATGACAAATCTATGACACTAATGTTTGTGAGTCTTCCTCTTTAACTCAACCTTTTTGTCAGAGGCATGAGCTGAGTTTTCCACATCATTTGGGCGTGGCTGTTCAGTGTCCTGGAATTTAGACTGAAACCGACAGATCACTCCTCTTACTCGAAACAATAGAGTGTGAAACTTTTGCTTCAGGATTGTGTCTCGGCTTCAGTCTGTCGTGTAGTTACTGAATTGTTTTCTGAGATTTTCACGGGAAGCCACCGAGCCATGTTTGGGCCAATGAGGTTCCAGTCTACTGATTTTTGAGAAAATCGCATGTAATGAGGAAGAGCTTTGTTTAGGATCTTCATCTCTCCATGTATATGTTGGGGCACGCAGTGTAATCTAAGGTTTAGAGAGTGTGTTGTTAGGCCTCTTTTGTCTCGTGATTCACATTGTTGTGTACACTAGTTGGGGCTCATTACCATCCTAATGGCATCGCGGCCTCGTCATTTGGGCGCTGTTCCACTTCAGCAGACAGGAACACTATCTGCCAGACTCGTAGCATTCTTCTAACATGGCTTAGAAATACAGAGGGATGTGCTAACCATAACAAGTAGCGTCCTTCTGCTCCATTTGTCCACATGGCTCTGCATTCAATGTGAAATATTGGTAAAAGCAATGAAATTACAAGTGGGAGATGTAAAATCCTTGAAATATTACCAGTGCTGAGGATTTAGGGTCTATAAAACTGCACATGACATTACTCGAACCTTCACTTTATGAAATTGAATTAAATTTGCTCATCATGTTGTTGGTCATTATTTGAAAGGGTATAGTTCTACCAGGTCATCATGAAGTCACGTGAGATGTCAACAATAGATAAATGATGTAATATTTAGTCTGGAGCAGTGTTCCTAAAGATAAACGGGCTTCTGACTGCACACAGTGTAGTCACTCTCTCTATCATCAGTAGTTGTCCATCATAAGCGATTGTGGTTAGCACGGTGTGGCATATCTGTCCCCCTCTTCCCTATCTCATCAGACTCATCTTGATTTCCATTCAGCAGCCTGAGCTTTATGCCTGTTTGATTCCTTGTGTGGGACCTGAACTGTCATCTTCCCTGCTACAGTGCTGCAGGACCTGCACACACACCCCCACCGCTGGCCATTTAGGTCAAGAGTGAAGCCACTAACCTAAGATAAACAGAAACCTGGTGAAACAGTGAGCAGGCGCAGAAAGCAGTTACCTGATAAGCCTACAACCAAAGGTCCTGGCAGGAACCGGTTGCTTGGTTACCTTTTGAAAACAGACACGCTTATCCAGTGTGTGTGTGTGTGTGTGTGTGTGTGTGTGTGTGTGTGTGTGTGTGTGTGTGTGTGTGTGTGTGTGTNTGTGTGTGTGTGTGTGTGTGTGCGTGCGTGCGTGGGCTGTTCTAGATAGCTACCCTCCCCCTTGCTCTCATGTATGTATTAGGTGCCGTTTTACCGCACAATAGCTGTTGCAGATGTATTGAATATCTTGATACAACAGAGATTTTATCGGGAGCTGTTATTGGTAGAGCAACTATTCTCACTTTACCGCTCTGTGTGTCTTGTAAAGTGATCGGGACCATGACGAAATAGTTAAAACCACCAAGATGTTTGAGTCATAAAAAGCACAGTCTGAGCTGTTTGTCAATGGTCCCATAGTAAAATAAAGGTGAAAAAGATGAGCTTGTAAAGTGGTGTTCCCAAATAACCAAATAGGTTTGTAGTTGTAAATGGACCCTTATAAAATCTAAAATAAATCTGCATGAGGATTTCACCTTTCTACACGGGTTAAAGATTTGTATTTGTTTAAAAAATATATTTTGGACATCAAGTTACAAGCTTTAAATCATTTTGACCTTAATTTAAGTCCATAATAAGGACAGGAGGTCATGTTAGCTTGTCATGACCCAGCAGTCTGATGTCACTACTTGGCTCCTGTTGGCTACAACATGTTGCGGCCGCAGCTTCACCTCGAACCAAGCAGGTATCCGCCCTGCCTCGAGCCTCCTGTCCTTGGAAATGAAGGTGGAACACGAAGAATCGGATTACTCTCCAGGGACACTGCATTGTCCTCCACAATCTCATGATGGGGACAACTGTGCTTGAATATTCACAGCCCTGGACTTTAATATTTTAACATGCCAGCCCTGTACAAGCCCTGTGCCAACTCCTGTTCACCTTTTATAGGAGTGTGAAACGCTGATCATGCCTTTACCTCGCCACATTACCCTAGTTCTTCCCTCTTCCCCTTTCCATTTCTTGTCTGAATTACTGAATGAACAAATTGCTGCCTGCCGAAGAATCAGTGAAGATGATTAATAGAGGTGCTTGTTTCTGAGTGCTTTTAATGGCTGTGCAGCTCCTCTGTATTCAGAGCTCATTCCTTTTCACAGATAGGGAGTAAAACTGCCTTCTGGTCTGCTGCCAGACATTCTTGTGGGAAGAATTGCTTGAGCCTTTCTGTCGTATAGTCAATATTACATCGACAGATATCTCAAGTTTGTATGTCTTCTAACTTATATGATACTTTGGCCACAGTATTGTCCTGCTGACAGCACCGGGCTTCCCAGAGGCATCCTAGTTATGTGATACATTGCCCAATATGTTTAGCTCAAGAGCTGTTGTGCTTAAAGAGCCACAGTTTGAATGTACATTTTACTTATCTAATTTGAAACACTAGACCAGATCTACATTGCTGCTTCCGTGACGACTACATGGATCATGAGCTGGTGAAGACATTGACATTTTGTCTTGGCTTTAACATCAGTTTCAGCACAACATCATGTATGTAACCATCACGTGTACCGTTTTTTAAAAAGGATTTCAATTCAAAACCTGTTGGTGAAACAGATTTTAAAAGAGAGATGGAGTCAGCTTGTCAAACCTTTATATACTATATACGAGCACAGACAGTTTACAGTTGCCAGATTTTATTTCAGTGTTCACAAAACCCAGTTTCAAAACTAATAACTACAAGTTTAAGTGGTAACGCTTCCACAAGTGCTGGTTCACTACATTCACACAGTGGACTGAAGTGACCCCAATCAGAATTTTTTCCTTCCCTATGTGACCCAGATCTGATTGTTTAACGACAGTGTGAACAGCACTGTCATTAAACAATCAGTTTATGCATGTCAGCCACTCCTTGGGAGCCGGTCAGAACCCAAACGTAAACATGGATTTCTCCTCCTCCCTCTTCTCAACTAAAGTTTCAGTTAAGTGGCTCACACACACAAACAAGCGTACTGTACGCACAACACGTTACTCACAAGAGGAGATTCCAACGAACAGCACACATACAAATTATGCGGTTATGGTAAATAATCCCGACATCCCCAAACACAGGTAGCAACAGTAACTAAGGGGAGTGGGCTTAGTAATGGCCAATGCAAAGATAATCATAGATTGTCTTTATGATATTAACGACTGGTGATGATAAATTAGTCCTGCTCAAAAACCTCTGGAGCGCTGTCTCTGTCTCCCTCCATGTTTCCACTGATGCAAAACAAACCCATATTTTCAGTTGTGCCTGTGAACCTGCATCTGGGAGACTGCTGCAAACTTTGATTGATGCGTGACAGCACATTTACTATGAGCTTTTCAAAGTGTAGTAATTAAATACTGGTTTTGATATTTTTAAAAAGTAATACTAACCCTCTGGAATTTATCCTGGTTTACCATGAGACCAGTATTAGTTTTATCCCTAAACTTCTTTTATTGCTGTGTGTGTGTATCCGTAAGTCTGGCTGTTCGCCTGTCCGTCCGTTTGTCCGTCCATCCTTCCACTGGATCTGCGAGCCGCAAATGAGCCACTGCTCTTTACTCTGTCGCTTAAGCTTTGTACGACAGGCAAA